TGGGAAACACCCCAAAGGCTTTACTGAAATGCTTATTTCGGTAATGAAAACCCAGAATATTTTATTTGAGGAGAGTCATCATGATTAGCTAACTTGTGAGGTTCTGAGACAAATCTGTTTTTTAAACATTACCAGGTTTATTTATATTTTTTTTTAATATTAAATGAAAAAAAAAAAAGAACAGTTTTGAAAGTTTTCATAACAAACAGAAAATGACCCTGTGGAATTTATCTCCTTTCACCTACTGGGTAACTTCATAAATCTTTACTGATTTATTAAACAATAATCTTTACTGGGTTATGGTTTTGACACAGAGCTCTTGCTTTTGTTATATCCATCCCAGTGAACAGAAATGGCTGTAAGGCAGAGTAAGGAGATGCTTAGATGTCTAAGTTCTTGAATTTAGTGAAAAAGGACTGAGTTTAAAAAACTTAATTTCTGTGTAAGCCTGGGATGGATTCTTCAGCATTCAGTATTATGTGCTGTAACATTGTTGTAATCTGTAATACTTACCATTGATGAGGATAAAATATTCTATGAAACTGCTCATTGACCTCTGCCTCCACATCTCCCTCTGGTTAATATGGTGATGAATCTTTGAAGACCTTTTGCAGGTAAGACACGTTTGCCAACTGCCAGGTAAACGCACCTTAAAATCAGGTTTCTGCGCATGATGCCACCCACTGCCCCTCTCCCCGGTTACAAAAGGATGGACCCACATATACGACAACTCTGCTATTTTGCATCTATTTACATTTCTTTTCAGACATTCAATGAATTAGTCCTACAGCAGATCTGGGCATGGGCTGATGCCACGGAGTTCTCCCTGCTCTGCTGCATCTCTCTTTTCAAAGCCCAACCGTGCTTTTGATATATTCCCTGGTTCGTTAACTGTGACATTCAGCACAATCTGCCTGTTACCCTGCGATTTTCAGGACTTGCCCCACCACCATGACCCTTTCGTGAAGAACAGCGAAGGCGGAGACTCCATCTGGATGGCCGGTGATGGAGGAAAAACAGACTCACGTTTCAGCTTCAAGATGAGTTACACTTAAAAACAAGCAAATTCCTCCCTTCCCCTTGGGTATTTCCTTTATGCAGACAGAAAAATTAGCTACGGCTACCGATAACGGAAAATTTGCAATTACTTTGGGAACACTCAACATGAACTCTTTCAAGGATACAGCGTGGGATGTGCTACCATAGTTCAGTTATCTTCTACAACACAGACCCAGGCTCAAGTTACCTATTAATCACACGACCGTATGGTAGAGACGTGGCCAGACTGAATGTGCTCGTTACTGATCTTCCCACGGCAGTTGCTAAGAAGAGGTACAGCAGAATGCATGGACATGCATATACGCCCTCCCTCCCCCCTTTATTTTTTTCTTGGAAAGGTTAAGACTATGTGAAAAATGATCAAGTCCCTATCTGTCTAAAATCTTAACTGAGATTAGAACTAAGGGAAACATCTTTTCGAGGTAAGAATTAATTATTTACGTAATGTACAGGTCTGTGAAAGAGTCTTTAAAAGCCTTTAACTCTTGAGGCTAAATCATAAAAAGTCAAAAAGCTTTCGTACTTGCTTCAGTCCAGCTTTCACAGGATCGGAGCAGAAGGCTGCTAAAGATCACTTAAGGGGAAGAAAGTAAAAATTACTGTAGGTGCACTAACTGCGTATCAGCAAGTGAAAAAAACCCCATGGTAAACATTTAAATGCTGGAACTGCCTTGTATTTTTTGTGTAGCATTAGAAAAACTACACGCTCCTCTAACTTAGGCTTGTGCACTCATCCTCGTGGTACGCACACAAGGCACAATCATGCAGGAGAAGTTACTTCTGCCCCGCTTGTCTATCATGTATTTCCTGTTGAGCAGGTATTTTAATTTATACGCGACTATTTGACATAATGTGCAGCAGTCTCCTTGGTAAGAGCTACGAGTATCTCTTAGCTCATTAGAAGTAGCGAAGAAACCAGTCTGAGAAATAGGCTTATTAAGACAATGAATACGCTTTACATAAAGAAAGCAGAATTTTTGTGGTGTCTGCTTTAGCTCATACTCTGACAATTTAGCTTATAAAAACAGATGACTTTTACTCAAGTCAGCTGAGAAATGTACTTTTCCTGTAGTTTTCACAAATCCTCTTCTATCAAGTCTGAAGTTGAGTTCTAACTGCCTTCATTAAAGATGCTGACAACTAACTGCAGTGGAAGAGAATGGCACCAGGACCGTTTGCATCTAATATTTCAATCTAGATTTGCAAAAAACAACGTGAGCTGTGGCAGCATTTCCAAGTATTTGTTTAAATAATAGCACTCTGAAATAATTTCCTCAGAGAAAAGAATAAAAATGGAACAAATACTGAAGTTAGTCTGTGCATTAACTTTTCCTAATGGCTCTAGTATCCAGTTCTTCAAGTATACACTCCAGTTCAACGCTGCTCAGGCTGTAACGTCTCATCTTCTGTGTTGTCCTTTCAAAATCAACCGAGTAACCTTGCTAATGAAGTGTCTGAAGTAGGTAGCAATATTTTCACTTAAAGGCAAGTGGCACAGCATCTTTCTTGAGCCAAATCAAATAAAAAGAAAACCAGTGCTAAAACGTATGGCGGAATTCAGTTTTGGTGATGAGATTAAAAATGTCCCTCTGTGGTTTGCATGACAGTGGCCAGGACTGTCTAACCTAGGTTACCATTTCCATGCAATAACCTTACCACTCTGAGACATTGAACAACCTAGTGTACTTTTATTAAGTAAATGGAAGCAGAGATTAATGAACATTTATTGGACCAACTTAACACCTTGAAATCACAGGCATGAGTCAGACTGAGGCAGCATACTGATAAGATCAAGTTTTCTTTACAAATCTATGAGCCCCTGTACAAAAATAAAGTATAAAAGGGGCAAACAGAAATATTTGTTTCTTCCCAATCCCAGGGCTGCTTCTGAGGTCACATTCAGCATAAATTTAGAGAAGTCCAAGAGGCGCTCTAAATTATGCGGTGATATGTACAGTGCTAGGAGGACCCTTCTTCTGCTGGAGATTGAAAAAAAAAAATCATAACATTAGCTCTGCACCTGCATGAGTCTCCCCTACGCAAGCGAAGCTTCCATCTGAATTTACGGCACCCTTTGGCCTCTATGTACCGCACAAATAACAGAGACACATCAGAAGGGTTTGGGCAGGGCAGAAGGCAGGGGAGGCATGGATCGGGCAGACGGAGGAGCCCTGGGCTTGAGCTCTGCGCTTCCTGGGACTGCGCTGACACTGGTTCCCGGAGCTCACTGGGCTGCCTGGTTCAGCTGTACTTAAAGCCTGGGGGGGGTTCCCCTAGTTAATCTTTTGCTGCTGAAGGCTCCTACAAGGAGAACAGTCTGTGATAAAGAGGAGGCAGGACAGTATGCGAACGGATGTGCTTTACAGGTTTTGTCTCTTGGTAAAAGGCTATACACTGAGAATAAAAGAAACAGAGCTCTGCAAGTCAGTCTTTCTACTGTGTAATATTAACTGAAGAAAAGTGTATTAGTTACATGAAATCACTACTTATTGTCAACTACATAAGGCAGAAGCGCCCTCATGGGCCTTATCGGTTTTCTTTCCTTACAGGCTGGATACACAGAAACTCCAAGAAATTCACATTAACAGAGTCAAAAGTGTGTAGCCAAAACATTTTATGGTAGACTATACTCGAATTATCAAAATTACTTTCCTGTTTAATGTAATGAACAACTGAGATGAAGAATGTGTCACTGAAGTCAGATACCAATGCTTACCACAGAAGAAGTTTGTATTTCTAACATCAGAAATACTCCACTGCTTGGTTTTCAGTAGGTCTTCTCATCTTTGTGCTTTACTGGGAAAAGAGGTAGTTTTGAGACTGAATGAACCTGTCACTTTGATGAGCTCAGCTATTGTGTAATGCTACCATTGCAACAGCTGATCTACAGGAACACCCTGTAAAGTTCAGCCAGGACTAAAATGACACGGCACGACTGCTTGAAAAATTACCTCTTACTCACTAAATACTTCACAGTGTGTACCCATCCCCTTTTACAGGGGCTAAATTCAGAAGAGATGAGCAGCTACTCTTACTCCAATAAGCTCCCTCTCATTCTCTGGCTTGCTCATGCCAGGCCCACACAGACAGTATCTCATGGGCTAGTTTCCACAGCTCCACAAACTAGACACTCCAGGGACTCGGTTACGGTACTCGTTTTGGGACGCGGTCACAAGAACCATGATTCCGGCTGTAGTGTACGTGGGTTCAGCATGTGGGGTAACGCCATGGATGAAGTTCCCCTCTGCGCTGCAGGCTGCAAGCTGCACTGTGAACGCTGCATAAAATAACCACCTTGCCTGACCTGGCTGGCTGGGACCCCTTGCTGCACCTACATTTCGCCTAAGGATTTTACACGAATAGAGATTTGACCACCCGACCTGCAGTAGGAGTAGGCAGGAGAAAATCAGCGACCTATGCACTTGATGACAATTACCCCTATGATAAAGGTTCAACCGTGAGAGAACCCTTCCTGATTACACGTGCAGTCATCCCAAACAACTGGAACAGCCCACACATCGATTACAGCCGACAGTTCAATTTTGAGGACACCGTATCATTTGACTATAAACACTAAACTTCGTACTGTACAACGGCACAGCCAACCAAGCTTTTAAGACAAACCATTTTAAGGAACACCTCTTGGTGGCAATGCTGGCTTCTGTTAACACTTTTCAGAAAAAAATGCAAACCGCCTGGGCCGGTGAGAGCGTGAAGAAGGGAAACAAAACACCAGGTCAGCACTGGTTAAATTTTCTTACTTGGCTCTGCTCTAACATGAAATTATTTCAACCTGTGCTCACCCAGGTGGAGCAGAGGCGGTGGCACAGGTTACCAGGGCCTTCCCTTCACAGATTTTAAGAACCCTTTTCTTGCTGCAAGAGTCACTGATTTGTTCTGGAAACTCCCTGTGATGAAATGAAGGACCCAAAAGCATTTAATTGTTGAACACATAAAAGGAAGTATATTTAAAATAAAAAAAATTGGTCAGACTGTAGAGTCAATTACCATTTTTAAAGGAATTTACAGGGCTGTTGTAGATGAGTCTTTTGGAATAGTCAGTTTATCGCAATGCCTAAACTGGTTTCTTCATTGCACAGTATTTTCTTTTAAAATGTGTGCATTTTTAAACAATTACATACATATTAAAAATCAGCATTTCTTTGCTTAAACTTAATTAAAACGTTAATACTCTCAGACAACACAGATCTGAAATGGTGAAACCAGTAATTGCCCCCTCCCACCTTACAACAAATTAAATTGAGACAAAATTACAAACACATTTCACTACATGATTATTATTAATAAAAATCAGGGTTTTTTTTATAAAGTTGCCCAAAATGCAAGGGATGTGCATAGGTTTACAACTTAGTCAGAATAATATTTTACTTTATTCCCTTGGGTACGTGTTCCCATGAACGGAATGTACTTTGCTGTAGATTACAGGTTTTTTCAACACAGATACACCAACGGCATGAACGCTTGCGACTGTCCACATGCATTAAGAGTCAAGACCCAATTTCAAATTTCTAAAAGTTTTACAGAGTTCTTCAAAGAGACAGTATCACATTATCTGGATGTTACACAAAAGTACTTAAAAATACTATCCTAGAAAAAAAAAAAAAAAGCGAAGAAAGGCCTTTAAAATTTATGCATTTGTTTTGTAACCACTAGACTAATTATTTCAAATAAATAAAGGAAAGCAAAGTATTCCAATCCATAAAATCAGACTCTAAAAAGAATGTAGTGTTCCACCCCCAAGTTAACAGAATCATATTATTATTACTATTAAAATAGATTATAGAAAGCAGCATCTATTTTGTGCAGTTTTTAGGGGCCCTTGAAATAAAAAGCTATGATTTCCAAAAATATAACATTCCAAAGGACTGAATAATACATATATTTAAAGATACATTTTATTAAAGTTTAGGAGAAATGATTAAAAAAAAGATACTGTCTCTTTAAATTAGTGTTTAATTTTTTTTCCCCTCCTCCTATCTATTTGGACATGACAATAATTATAAATTTAGGTCACACTACATCTAGGTAGTCTCTAGGGGCCAAGACCTGTTGACACAAGGTCAATAACGAAGAGGTTTTCCATGGATGAGGTGGTTCCCAGTAATGACAGATTTTTTTTTTTTTTTTAATTCTCTCGTGACCGGTCTAGTAGACCCAGGAGACCGGGACCCACTGTGAGGCTGTACATACAAGCTCGATGGCTTCCTCCAGGTGCCTGATAGTTTCATCGATTTCATTGTTGATAATTGTTAGGTCAAAGTAGTGTGCATATGTTCTCTGTAAGATTTCAGACTCCTTCTGCAGCCGCTGAAGAGACTCGTCCTGTTCAACGGTCAGAAAAGAAAATGGGAGAGAGATAAGTTGGATCCTTCCGTCCTCTTCTACAACAGCTTTCTAACTAACTGGTGCTTACAGAGAAGGAAATGGGCAAAAGAGCCTTGGGGAGGCCTGGGTGGTTCAGATCCCCCACCTAAATCTACAGCAGTCACACAGGAGAAATAGCACAATTTCTCTCTTGAAGCTGACATTCAAACAGCACTCAGTTATTGATATTACCTGAGACAAAATACGAGTCTACAATTAAAAAAGCAAGCCCGAGGACGGAAGCTTAGAAAAGCAGCAGAGACATGGAGCAACGTAGACCATGTATGAATAAAATGTACAAAGTGCACAAATGTGAGCTATTGGGCCCGTGTCCAGGGAAGAACACGAGAAGCAGGAGAGGGTGTATTGTCGGATATCAGCAGTTCCCGGTTTTGGTAATGTTTTACTGCACAACATCGGTCTTCTGGGTCTACTTCCTTTAAGAATCATTTACCAATGAGGAAGTTCTCGCTCCGCATTACTCTGTGGTTCTTATTTCTGAGCGTGTCATTTCCAGCATCTCTCAGCGTGAGGTCCCGAGGACGAACCACGCGGCCCGCATCAAGAAGGGCCAGCGACAGCACACTGGTGCTCACCGTGGCTTTGTGTCAATGCTCTTATGGAAACGAACACATCCTTCTTTGTGGGTGCGCTACCGGACTCTGCGCGGCCAGCAACGCTACAGCGACGGGCTTTGTTAGCGAGGTCTGCCTTTCTGAGAGAACGGGATTGCAAAAGGCTTCTTGCTAGGGCTCTGCAGCAATTACAAGTTTGAACTATCTTCCTGAAAATTCCCTTAGAAATTTAAAAAAAAAATAAAAATCTTGTGCTGCTTTCAGGAACCCTGAAACAGCCACAGGAAAATAATCAGGTCCTTCCCGCCCCACCAGTTTGGGGTGGATATGGGGCAAAATTAAATATGAACAGTATAAACTCCTGCTGCTCTGTAGTATGTGTAGGGTCACCCTACTCGACCAATCAACTGGGATACACTTTATTATAGCAGTTTCAGGCTGCGGGAAGTACAGACACAGTGCCTATAGCTGTTTTCAGAAGGAATCATTCTGGGAACAGATTTTATTTACCTAGTAAGAGACCCTACTCTTTTTGTTGTTTAAACTTTCCACGTATTTGTAGTTACGGTGACAAGTAGCTGTGGAACAGCCGCTTTCAGGTCCTCTGAAGGGAACAACCTGCGCTGAGACAGTTCTCCTTCCCTGTAGCTACGAAACCAGCCACTTCTGGAGGAGAAGTTCTGTACCAAAGTTACCGTTCCGCTTCTCTCCTGAAGCTGCAGCCCCAAACGAGGGGGGAACGTCACTTTCACTTGATAATAACTACAAATTTCATTCAAAGTCAGGTAAATACTTCTCCCATGCATTTCTGTACAGGGGACGCACCTAGAATGGACCATTATGCATCACCAGCGACACCTGGAACTTCCGTAGAAGACACCAGTGCATGCAAATTTAATTTATGCTATTATCAAATTGAACAACATGGATCGATACTAATATTAAATATGTTTGGGGAACATTTCATATAGCCCAGAGTCGTTAAGCAATGAACCTAGTTAAGTAAACTGCCAACTTTTCATAGATTCCAAAAGGAACATTAATTTAAATCAGCTGAGGATTTAAATGGTTCTGTTTAAATTAACCTACAAAGGAAAAAAAAAAAAAATCTTGCCAAGCAGAATATTTTCAGTGTTTTAAACATATCTAGCTAAGATTAATTTTATATTTTAAAGCTAGTCTTAGCAAAAATATATTGCACCTTTAAAAAAAGTTTTAATCTCATGGCACAAGGCTAATACTACCTGAACTTCCCCATGAAGCCTTAGAACTGTTAATTCATATTTAACTACTTCTCAGACTTCCCACCAGCGTCACCCTTAACTGCTACAAATACGAGAATGAACTTTTCTCACTAAAGCATGTATCTTACTGTGACTGACAGAATAAAAATCTGAAACACTTACAGCTATCTTATTTTTAAAAAACCAAACAACCGGCAGGTAAAGAAGAATGAATGCTAATATTTAGCTTGCACACACAGATGTCACAAAACTAAGAGTTTCAAAAACTCATTAAATTTTAATATATTCCTGACTTAGCTGCTCCTAGATCCAACTTTACTGGGATCAAAGTGGGTTGTATTATGGAATATCTACATTTCTTAGCCTGTTGGAAATATAAAACATTACTTCTTTTAGGGGCAGTAATAAGTTTGGCATAGGACATTGCAGCAATTTTCAACAAGTTTGAACCTTTTCAAGCTCTGAGAAAGCGATTACAGTTCTTGATTTTGGTTTTATTCTGGAGACAAATTTCACTTGTGGTTGTGATAGAGTGATAAAGTTTGTATGTTCAAAACCATGTCAGACTGGGCTGTTTCCTCTGTGTCTGCAAGTCTTAAATGCCAAAATTCATCTCTGAAGCTAACACTTCCTCTAAAATTTTTGCTGTAGTGAGTTCCTCTCAATTTCTCTAAAATTTCTTCATTAAATCTCAAATAGTGAAGATCCCAGATTATTCTCCAAGAATAATATTCTCCAGCAGTTGTGCTCTCAATAGTGTCAAGAAAGAAGATACTTATCAAAACATTCAGACAGCTGCAGCTTCAAAAATGTCACATTTGGGAGCAGAACATCTGTCTTGTCGTCTTCCTTCAGCTCTCACGCAATAGGCATTTTGTGTGGGTCTAGTTGCAGTGTGTCCATTACTGGAACAGACCTTTCTTTCCTATCTCTAGAATTCAGTTCCTTTTCTTAATCTTCTCTCCTTCTCCACCATAGCTGGGACAGAAAGGAGTGAAACATGGCTTTTATCCATGAAATCTCTCCCATGTGCATAATGGCCATCAGTGACAGCTTCAGTCTCGGAGGGCTGGGTTTTTTTGGCCTTAAAGTACATAGGACTATAGTTGCCACTTGTGACAGTCAAAGCACAGCCTAACAAATTACTAATATTCCCTTCTAAGGCTGCGAACAACATACAAACGCACCATCAGGCCTTTGCCAATTTTGCTCTAACAGAAAGAAACTCTCCTCAATTTAAAAAGCTGGTGGACCGCAAACTTCTTAAGAAAAATTCCTTTTGTTCTTTGGCTGTAGGAAGGGAGGAAGCATAGCTAAAATTCAGAAGAATTTGCCTCAGTAAAGATTTACACATGGTTCACTAAAGTTTTAGATCAAAACAAGTGGAGCCTGTCAACTCCTCTTTGCTGCTGTCTGGGCAACGGGAGGTAGAAAACAGCTGGAGGAAAGAGGAACTGCTCCAGTGTTTCCTGATGTGCTCCTTCTTCTCTCTTTTTTAGCACAACAATTATCTGATTTAAGTTTCCTTTGCGATTAGACAGGTGGGTACCCTCCGGGAGATTTCCTATATGATTTAAATTGGTTTTGTACTTTGCAAAATTGCTCACAATGCACAATATTCATTTGGAAAGCATAATATTTTGCCTCCTAACTTTTGCTGTGTGGTCCTTGATTATTGAGATATTTTGTGCATTCTATGAAAGGCTAACGTGTCTCAAGACAGACACTTTTAGGATCAGGCCTCTGCACTGATTTTACCACAGAGTTCAGATGTACAGCTGTAAGAGTAGAAATTTTACTCTCTAGTTTCTTTTTACTAGCAGATAATTTTAGCACAGATATCCGAAGTAATTATTACATTTAATTTTTATTCCAACGGTGAAAGTAATGTTGAATGGGAATGAGCATATCTACATTCTAAAACTACTGAGATAACTAGGACTACCTTGTCAGCCCCTAGCTGGTACTTACAGGCAATTTTCTGCACCATTTTGGCAGCTATGTACAATTAGCATGAGCGCAGGAAAATGAAAAGAAAAGCAAAGATGAAATTTAAGAAAACATACGGGGAAAAAAGGACAGTCATTTACAGAAGTATTCTCAAAAAGTGTAAGTAAAATAATCAAAGCAGGATAAAAGGATAAACAGAAAGGGATACTCGTTATGCAAATTAACCTTTCAAAAAAGAAGCATGGATAGGAAATATGAAACACGCACTCTCCACTCTTCTCTGCTCCCTTGCAGGCTGGTAACACACAGACACAATTTGCATATCTCCCTTTGTGCAGCCCAGCAAACCTAGGAAAACAGGATCCTGTATTTGGGTATTACTTGTTGCTATTACCATTTCCTGCCCCTCCCTTTCCACAAGTTTAATTGATTCATAAATTAGCATGCTTTGTAAGTGTGGCCCCAGTTCAGCAATTTGTGTGCTTGAGCGAATCCCTGCATGCACAGAGACTTACAATAAGGACACAGTCTTACAGCATGAATGCAAATATTTAGACCATAATACTTTGCTTCTACTAATATTTCTTTGGCATGAAGAACTATTTCCCCACCACTACTATAAAGGTACATTTCTGTCCTCTTCCCGGTGTACCACCGAAAACATTTTCTCCCTTGTATGAACGGTCCCAAATGTGTCTGTATTATATCCTACAGCTGGAAGATTAAAAGCTAAGTACCACAGGCAGATGAGTGAGGCCAAGGAAGACTATTTGGGAGCTGAGACACAGGTACGGAGGCAACAAACCTGGGCAACTACATAATTCCACAGGGTGCCTGGCCTCCTGAGCCCTGCTGTAAGCACAATGCTTGCCTCACACATCCTTAGAACGATTCTATTTTTGAAGTGATGCCATGCCATTTGCTTGCACAAAGGCAAATTCAGTGTAGAATACAAAATTTTAGTATTTTTTCAAGATCGTACTGATTTACAGCACGTGCCAACACCAGCAGTTAGACAAACTGTGGTTTCACTAACACTGCAAATTGTGATGTTCCGAGAGACCTTCGTCTGTTCCCTCGTGACATCTACCAGTTAGGGTACGGGTCCATAAGACACAGTGAAATGACATAACTGACTGCTGTGAAAGTTAAAAGATCCTTCTTCCCCCTCCTATCGCTTGTCCTGGCTATAGGCTTTCACTTGGCATTGGTGCCTGTCGGAGCCTTTGTGAGCTATTGAAAACCAACAAAAATTCATTTTAGAGCTAAAGTAGCTCACTAAAGGATCTGGTAAGTGCCATGGCCAGTGCAGACTGGCAGCGTATGTCCCAGAAGCAAGTTAGAGAGAATCACTCCCTTCAGCAACAGCAAACTAGTAGAATGCCTCAGCTGCCAGTAAAATTGCAGCTCGAGGCCAGTATTTTTCACTCTCCACGTGCTATTTTAACAATAATTCAGACTATTTGCATTTAAATATGTTTGTCTTGTTCCTTATTATCCTGCAAGCCTCTGCAGTGATGTCATAATTTCACACTTATGATATTGTAATTACATTTCTATGGAAACAGAGGCAGGGCTTCTGACTTTATTTTTGTGTGAACAAGGAGACATCTAGGAGATCTGGAACAGATTCATGGTCAAATCCAATTGATTAAATACCTTAATATCATGGTTTAAAACAGGCTGAGCAGATAAAGTGTTTGTATAAATACCGTTTGCCCTGTTGTGAGCTAAATCCAGAATTGCTTGATATCATCTTTGAAATCAGCAGCAATCTGCAGAGCAGATACTCTATAAAAACTAAGTAGGAAATTCAGAATGTGGACCTCCATGGTTAACATTATTCCACAAGCAATTACCCCTTTGGTCAAAGCTTCCAGTTCTTAGAGAACAGTCTTCAAAATCAATAAGTCTACTTCTGATATATATTTTTTGTATAGAAAAAATACTAAAAGATAAAGGTGGAATGACAGCAGAGTCACGCACACCCATTTCTTCAGTTCAGGCCAGCTGTAAACATGTGCTAGCACTGAAACTCAGAATTGAGTAATCTCTGCTAATGATTTGTCAAGGATTTGGAAATGGATCTTTGAGCTAGGGAGGGGAATGAAACAAAAGAATATGTATTTTTAGAATACATCATGTGGATCCTTCAACTTGAAGTTCATATTTTGAATTGGAAAAATCAGTTAATAATAAACTCAATGAACTTAATAATGGTGCCATACAACTGTCTTTCTGCCTCTCCATTTACAGACAAGGAAACAATTCAAGAGTATTATCTGCATATTTGAATCTCATCCTTAATTCTGTCTCTGATAGGACATTAGATTGCAACATGCCATACCTCATTAATGCCTGGGGTAATTGTAGGTGCAGCAATAAAAACAACAAAAGGAGCAAACTCTGCAGTTCTCAGGACCTTCAGTGCCTGGGTGAAAAAAAATCAGGTATTTTAGAACAATCTCCCAAAAATCAATGTGAACTAAGTTCCGTCACACAAGCAAAAGATACAAAATCATGACTTACCAATGCTGGTATTTGCTTTTAACTGATCTGGAGTCAAGAGCTTAGTAATACAGACACTTAACTTTTTCCTCCTTCCACTTCCTGCCTTCTCCAAATTTAAAAAACAAACAACCCCCCCTCCCAAAAAAACAACAAACAAAGCCCCACAATCCATCCTTTTCCCAAGCTAAAGAGGTTTTAATCTCTGCTGCTTGAAACCCACCCGTATATATCATCTACGCCAACCTTCTCTAAACAAGAGATAAACCTCGTATGTGAAAGTTGAGAAAACTCACATAACTAAGGGTACCCAAGGGAAAAGAGGCAAGCAGTGTAAGGTAACTAGGACTAAGTCCACAAAGAGGCTGGCCTTAATGAGCTGAGATGGATGCATGAGGAAGCTGGTTAAGAAGGAGGCTTGCTAGACACATGCTGGGGGAAGCGTAGGAAAGGTGGCTGTTACCAAATGTAAATATATTCTAACGAAGATTGAAATGGCTTCTGAGAATTGTAATGCTTCTGAATAATGCAAGTTGAAAAGGTTTATCAAGAGAGTTTGCTTTTAACAGCTGCGCCATTTGAACTAATTATAAATGCTGCTCTCCCTGAAAACTGTTAAATGTGGGATTTTATTTTTCAGAACAGCACCATACCAGCATTCTATGTAAACTGTCCTAAATAATTTAGTCAGGTATCTCATTTCTGTTATGAAATGCTTAAAGAATTTGAACTTCTTGAATCCACTCACAAAGAAGAAAGAAGGTACCCAATTTAAATAGGTAACACTGGTCACAATTTTAATTTGTCCTTCCTCCCATTTCCTTCCATCTGCTAGAATAATATAAACATTGTGTTTGTCTATATTCATATTGTTCCACTTAACAAAACATGTAAACACATCCCTGTGAATTGAAAGTCATGACTACATGGATGTTTCCAAGGAAACTTATTCAAATTTTCTACTGAAGATTTTATATAATGAATGAACAAACTATTAATGTTGCCTGAAAGCCTGATTTTCCTCCCTGCCCTCTTCCGAAAAGTGTAATACTGCAACATAAAAAGGAGTTTATAAAGTAAAAACACCGATCGGGACATTGGGCAAACAGGATCAGTATCAGTGATTGACCACAAATATTTCTGACCACGCTTAATAATGATATGGAGCCAAGAGTCAGTTAGGAACAAGATTACCCTCTCATACAGCATCAAAGGGAAATTTTTGAAAATATTGAAACATTACTCCTGGCAGGCAATGACAATCACTTCTTTTGATATCTCTCACTGGACATGAGACTAACATAGTAAAAAATTCTATGGTAAGTAGATTTTTGAGCTACAGTGGTTGCATACCAAGCTAGACTATGAATTTGTTGCTGCTGTGTATTCTTCTAACCAGATGATTACCAGAATTCTACTTCACAAATTGGTAACATGGTGTTCCAGGGACTTTTGTTCCACATTACTGTATGCATTATTTGTGTAGTGTGCAATCAATAAAAATAAATAATCTCAACAAAATAAGTTCGAAGGATTTGGGGTGAGTCCCATTTTCGTATACTTCTAATTAGTTACCTGAGGTTCTACATCAAGTATTGCAATTAGTCCCTGCTCATGGATCTTTCGTATTGTTTCCAGTTTTGTCCCATACATTGCATCCTCATGGCTGCCATATTCCAAATATTCATTGTTTGATATATCCTGCATCATTTGGTCGTGTGATACAAAGTAGTAATTCTTCCCATTTTCTTCATCTTTCTTTGGAGGTCGGGTTGTGTCTGAAAATAAAAAATACAAAATAGTTTTAGTACAAAAGCCATATCACACTTATATATGGCTTTTTCTTTGTATTGTAAGTGTTTGTCAATACTTATTCACTGAATGATGGCCTGTTAAATCACATACAGAATAATGAAGCATGAGCTCAGGGTAGGCAGAATGACAGAGGCTGGGAAAAGCAGGAGTCTGTGGGAGGTGTGTTGGGAAAAGCAGGACATAAAGGGATTTGGAAGAGGTAAAAATCAAAAGGTAACAGAAGAAGAACAGAAGATCATAACATTTACCTGGTCAAGACTGTAAGACTTGCAGCTGCTTTCAACAGCAAACAAAGGCCAGACCTCACAGTTTTTACAGTTTCTAAACAACTCAGTTAACATCTCCATTTTACTCCAGGAGCCAGTACGGGCCCAATCCTGTTCAACATCTTCATTAAAGATCTGGATGATAGGGCAGAGCATACCCTCAGCAAGGATGCCAATGATACAAAACTGGGAGTAGTGGCTGATACACCAGAGGGTCACACTGCCATCCAGAGAGACCTCAACAGGCTGGAGAAACAGGTTGAAAGGAACCTCATGAAGTTCAACAAGGGGAAGTGCCATGTCCTACACCTGGGGAAGAACAACCCCATGTTGGGGGCTGACCAGTTGGAAAACAGCTCTCCAGAAAAGGCCCTGTGGAGGGTCCTGGTAGACACTCAGTTGAACATGAGCCAGCAATGTGCACTTGTGGCAAAGAAGGGCTAAGGTATCCTGAGCTGCATTAGACAAAGTATTGGTAACACGTGGAGGGAGGTGATTCTTCCCTTCTACTCAGCACTGGAGAGGCCACGCCTGTTGTGCTGTGTCCAGTTCTGGGCTCCCCAGTACAAGAGAGACATGGACATACTAGATAAAGTCCCATGAAGGGGCACTAAGGGACTGGAGCATCTCTCCTATGAGGAAAAGCTGAGAGAGCTGGGACTGTTCAGCCTGGAGAAGAGAAGGCTCAGGAGGAATCTCCTCAGTGAGTACAAATATCTAAAGTGAAGGTGTAAAGAAGATGGAGCCAGTCTCTTTTCAGTGGTGCTCAGTGACAGGACAAGAGGTAACGGGCATACACTGAAACACAGGAGCTTCTGTCTGAACATCAAGAAACACTTTTTCATTGTGAGGGTGACCGAGCCCTGGCACAGATTGCCCAGAGAGGTGGTAGAGTCTCCATCCTTGGAGATATTCAAAAGCCACCTGGACGTGGTCCTAGGCAACCGGCTGTAGGTGGCCCTGCTTGAGCAGCAGCGTTGGACCAGATGATCTCCAGAGGTAGGGGTCTCAACCATTCTGTGATTCTGCAGGCTGTCTGCTCCTCTTTTCCCCACAGGCACACTGATATCCACTTGCTTCTCTTTCCTCTAATATTCCCTCACAAACTGATTTACTCTCATGTTTTTCCACTATTACATTTATGGGGCGACATATCTGAAACAGCACATCTCTCCCCAAGCTAGTTCCAACAACCGTATCATAATTTCAAACAAGACATCAAAAAATTGAACTCATATTCTATTTTTAATTATACCTATTACTGTTCTGAGGATTAATTAGCATATTTCAAAGATGAAAAGTTCTATAGAAATAAACCATATAATATCACTATACTACTCACTGCTGCCCTAGGTCCACTGAACTTGCATACTCTTATATTTCCCCCAAATCCTCCTGTTTTGTAAAAACATTTCTGTATTTTCCGTTTTTTACTTCAATTCTTATGAGGTTTTCTTCTTCTGAGTGTGAAAGTGTAAGTCTAAAAAGTAGGTGAGGTCCTGGTTACTTGTGGTCAAGAGAGATGAAAGCTGCTTAGCAATAACATACTTTTTGAATGTATTGCTTCTGCAGATGTATGTGATAAGAGATGCATGGCTACTAATCCTTTTCATTAACTACCACTGTGCGTGACATGACCTTTATGATCAGGTTTTCAGTAGGTAGATAATTTCTTCATAAAGCATGCCCTAAAACTCCACACCCAACTTAAGGTCTCTCTTAAAAGCTACCTACTGCTATCATGGTTTTGTAAAAGAATGCAGAAAATGCAGTAAAATCCATCCCTGAGAGCTGGAAAGAATAAATTCAACTACCTAGAGTCAGCTGAAAGACAGATCAAGTTCCCATAATACTTAAAGTGTATGTGATATATTTTATGTGATCTATTTTAGAAGTAGTAAAATCCATCCCTGAGAGCTGGAAAGAATAAATTCAACTACCTAGAGTCAGCTGAAAGACAGATCAATAATAATACTTAAATATCCCATAAAAATCCCATAATACTTAAAGTGTATGTGTTTAGAAGTGTATTTTTAGATCTATTTAAGGAAGTAATTTGGGTCTCTAAACACCAGCATAAAGTGCTATTTTAAATGCCCTAAATGCCTTAAATCCACCTTAAATCTGAAACATCCACATAGGACTATTAGATATAACACAAGAGTTAAAGGAGACTATTGCTTTTCTGCAGGGGGGCTGGAGATCAGGTGATGTCTAAAACAGGCAACTGAACATCATACTGATGGTTAAGCACCTGAATTTCATCCCAATTTGCTAGTTTAGTCTTTTTTAGTCTTCTTATATAATCAGTGAAGTGACTGCAGTGCTTCCACAGAGCAGGAACCTAATGCAGACAATTTAAGGCATGGTCGTCACGGTATAGGTGAGTCCATTTTAAGAGGTATTTGAAGATAAAATAACTAGTTCAGCTTCTACTTCCCCACAGCAATACAGTCAGTACTTGAGAGAAAGACTGGGTGAAAAACATACTATAAAACATTTATTACTCTTTGTTTTAGATCTTTGTAATGGAGAACGTATTTGCTGGGTTACTATGCCCTTTCCTCATATAATCTTGTCTGTATTGAATAACATAGGTTCAATGTACATCACATACTCCTGGCACTGCACTTTTCTGTCTAATCCAGGACATTAGTGTCTTTTCTGTCTAATACAGGATATTATTGTCTAGATATAAACAGCAGTGTGACAAACAGTGTGGTTTCACACTGCTGCTGGGGTGATCTAATGGCTCACGCTTTCATAAGGGCTAGGTCCTTCTGTTTTCCTTCTGCTAGCGCTGGCCTTTGTTTAACGCCTTAGCGAGCAAGCCTGGGGAACTCAAATCAGCAGCCAACTGATCCTTTTCCCCTTCCAAATAGGTTTACAGATAAGTTCTTAAAAATCATACTTCTTAGCAACAACAAAATCCTTATAGGTAAAAAAACACCTAAACGCGATTTTAAAGTAAAGCACTAACAAGGTCTAAAGAAAATGAAATTAATGCATGAATGGCAATCAATGTCACTTCTGAGCCATGTATGGCGTTTCTGAAGTCAGCCTGAAATAGAGCGGACAGAATTAGCTGCTGGATGCTCTTGTTTCAGAGTGCCTAGCTTGAGGAAACAGGGTGCATCTCCAAGAGATCATGCAGCAGGACAGGCAATTCCTGCCACGGTATTGACAGGGATTGTCATGAAGGGAAAACACCCCTGTGCTCTTTGAAACAACCTGCTTGTAAGCAATGAAGTTAATTGCATTTTCTTTTTCTTGTTGTCATCTTGGAAACTTGAGGCTAGTTTAGTATAAAACCAATTCTCAAGGCTAGGCTGTGAAAAGTAATTTAAAACATTCAGATAAGGCACACATTTTTCCTCTAAATCCAGTTTATATTTCTTCTCATGGGAATTATACACAGTTTTAAACATCAGGGCTGTTCCAGTTTCTGAACTGTAAACGTAAAATTAGCACAGAAAAATGAAAAATGTTTTAGCTTTCATTCTAAATTAACAAACATTTGGGGTGGAGAGAAATATGCTTAACAAGTAGTTTTGTGAATATTCAGAAACATTTGATGTAAAAGTGGTGTTACTTACTAACCCTCCCTCTGAAAAAAACAGAAGAAGAAATATACCCAGTCCTATCACAGTTCCCACCCTTAAGATAGGATTCATCTCTGCAGAACTGAACACGTAGTAAGTACTACAGTGGGTATGTTGTTAAGGATGCTACAAACAATCTTGCACTGCATTGAACATTGCTACTTACGAGGAATGGGGTAAGCAAATCTGTCCGGGTGTTTTGTGATGAGTGTGTTTTTTATGTGTCTTCTTCCAACACCATGTGCACCTAACCCACAACAGAAAAATGAATTATAAATTTTCCACCAGAAGGGGTTCAAAACTATGCTGTTATGTTCAGAATAATAACTCAAAATTACCTAGTAAGACTAGTGTTTTCCTTTTGAATGCTGGCAGTTTTACTACTTCTTCATATGTGACGAGATCTAATTGATCAAACACTAAAACACAAAAGAAACCCCCACAGGGATAAGAAAAAAAAGGCATATTAAGGGTGATAATTAATTGTGCTACAAATAATAATTTTAGCAAGTTTTAGATTTACAATACAAAGAAATATGTTATGGAAAATAAAACCATTTCATTATGCAATTCTAACAAAAGTGTTCATTTAAACAACCGTTAAAAAGCAATAACAAAGCTACTGAAATGCTCAGGAAAGTTTGCATGTCCTTTCATGCAGTATTCAGCAGACCACAAAAATTAGCTAAAATGGCATGCCATTCACGTTTGCATTCCTAAGAAATAGCAATACTAAAGAAAAATCTGTAGACAGTGACCAACACGAATACAGTATGAGAACATCTATTTACACTAAAGATAGGGGTACTTTCCATAATCATGTTTTAACAAGATCCATGAGAAATGTATAGAGAAGAGTGTTAATACTTTGTGGTATTTATTTTTCAAAACTACTGTCATATTAATTGTAATTAGAGTTCTCTTTAAACACACGTGCTAGTTAAATTGACATGCTTTTAAAACTTGCGACAGAATGAATTCTAATGAAAAGTGATGGCGTCACATAAAAGAACCTCCACCATATTTAGGGAAAAATTGTAAAAGTATTATTTCAGAAATAATTTCAACTGCAGTTGAAATTGGATGAATTCCACCATGCCTATAAATCTATTGTCAATTGCCAAGGTATACAATGATCGACAAATCAAGTTTTGTTCATTAAAACCAGCTTATTCCTCCTGTGCCCCATAACACAACATCTGTGGTAGTTCTTGCAGAATTCTAATGAAAAAAGAAGCCAGGAGGCAGTTAATTATAAAGATTACACAAATCAGCAATTGTGAGCAGAATAAAGAACAAGAGTTTTCACTTCTGTATTTACATGTGCTATAAAAAGAAGGGAGGAGAGACTGCATCTCAAGTATGGGATATTTGAGTGTTTCCCAGTCCTAAGCTGGCGTATTCACCTCAACTACACCCCGTCCATCTTTTAGGGTGAGCCTGGATGCCCTCTCCCCCTATCCAAAGTCCCTTAGGAAAGCAGGCAGTGGCAGGAGCTTTAGCTTGCTTGCTCCCCAAGTCCCCAGCCACCAAGATCAGCATGAAGACTGTGGAGCCTACCAGAAAGCACATACTCTCTTTGTACTAACGTCCCAGGATTTAACTTAATGTATTTGGTTTTATAGGGCAGATTTTTCAATTCAACAGCAGTCTTTTTACTTTTCTAGAGAAAAAGGACAACTACTTCAATTTGGTCAAACTACAAATTCGTCAGTTGACATACTCAACTCTTTCAGACCTTGAAAAGATACAGAGATGAAAACTTCCTAGTCCATTTGAAGCATTTTGAATTTCATCCTAAAGAAGAATCTCTTTCAACCTTTCCCCAAATATTACAAGCAAGAATTCAGTCATATTTTTCTTCCATTCCACAAACCTACAAACATGGAATTCTTACTACTGTCCTTTTTGCACCTTCACACTATTTAAACTAATTAATAATTCATTTCATATGAATAATTTATTCATCATTCATAAAGGCTAGGGATCTACAACATGTTAAACAGTTTTACCATTCTAGCCATCTAGGCCTGCAAGTATCTTTTCCCGTCAGAAAATAATAAAAAAAATTCAATCTTTTATCTTCTTCTTGAACAAAACCACATTATGTTAGATACAAACAACAGGAACAAACAACAGAAATGATACATACTAATGCCTTCATCACAAACTAACAGCATGGAGAAGATGTGTCTCAGTCTACAAGGAGTTAACTAATGATTGTAGGGTTTTCAAATGCAAAAGAAAAATGATTCATTTTTTAACAGAGACAAGTTATGAGGAATACAGGGCACATTTAAAGACTGAACTTTAACGCTTCTGTGTTACTAGCTAATAAAGAAAAGGAGTTCTTGAAAGGAAACAGTAAGAAGCAAATAAAGAGGCATTGTCACTTGACAGGTTACTTACATGCACAGAGGCCATTGGGAGTAAGACAGCATGAAAAATGTACAGGGGTCATTGAGATATGGCTCGTAATATATTAGTAAAATAAAAAGTATATGCACAAAATAAACTTTACCATGCAATAGTCTAAACACAAGGCAAATAAATCACATTAAGAAATGATAAACATATTTTGTAAAAGCTTGGCAATTTTCTACATTATGCACAATATGAAGCATAGTTCTAGAATGTTCTAAAGAGTGGTCTTTTATGAAGTCCTGTAAAAACATTTCAGTAAAAGAAATAAAAAATATATCTAGATATGCTGCAGTATATCTCTGGAGCATTTTTAAAAATGTCAGCGAACCTAATAATGGAAAAATATTTAAATTTCTCTGTGGGCTTTGGTTTAAAACTGACTTTACAATGTTAAGATGTATGATTGTGAAATTGTCTCTTGAAGGACACAATACTCTAATATCAAGTATGGAGGAAAGAAAAATGAGATGATATTTTTCTTGTAAGGGAGAATATATTTGCTTTTGATTATAAAAAGTAATTGAAAAACTTTCCTCTTTACTTCATAAATGATGTCTGACTTGCAGAATAATTTAATTTCTAGTTCCAGTAATATCCCAATATATCACACCAACATCTTAGCTCTCAAATCATTAGCTCGCCACACAAATCTTAGTTGACTATGAAGTATTTTACTAGGTCATTTCTCAGCACCCCAGTTCAGTCTCATCCCTAAGACAAAAATAACAGGGAAGTCCAAATAATAGATTACATACTGCTAAATGAAATATTGAATTTTATGCTAAGATATAAGAGAAATAAATTCTACTTTCTTGAAAGGGAACGTTTTGACATCTGGATTAGACTTCTCTGTTCCAAATTAATTATACTTATTTTGGATCCGACAGAAGAAAAGATCTGGCTTTTATTCTGAGACAGATGCAAAAAGCCAGTGTTACCGTATTTCTGACTAACAATTCCAGACGTGAGAGAGTAGTTCAGAGAAGGTAAATTCAGTACCACCTTAGTTACATCTAACAAACTCATGTGAGCACACGGCATTTCAGTGAACCTCTTTATATCCTACGTTTGGTGTCATTCCCTGGAACATTACTGGCATCACCTTTAATACCTCAAGGACATAAGATCAATAAACATTTCTAAGAGAAATCTTGATTCCAGTCTGTGCTTTCATCAACTTTTTGACTTCTTAGGGGGAAGGGGAAGTGTCAGATGGTATTCTGAATAGTTTCTTTTATGGGAATTATGGTAATTTTTAACATTTGTGTTTCTAATTTTTGGCAAACACTGTGCTCTGATATCAAGTGACTAACAGCACTGATGGTGGAAGCACCAAGGCAGGCAAATTGTGCGACTCAAAGTGCTGTCAACCTTCTCCGAAATGTCCCCACCTACGTCAAGATAGGAAAGTCCCTTCCTTTCAGGGATTTAATTGATACAATTCTTTGAGCTAGTTTTGCTCCTAAAGTATTGCCTGCTCCTTCTCCTTCCCTGGGCATCCTCTTTCCTTTGCTTATGCCTTGGTAGCATGCTGTCTTGGGCGCACTGACACGATTAACTATGTAGTTGCACTGTGAACTATATGAAGAAATATATCTACCCTACAGAAAAAGAATCAATGTTTTTTTTTTTGTTGTGTTGTTCTTCAGTTAATCAAATTAACAGCATGGCCACGCAAAGTTATACCGTCACAACTGAAGGGAGTAGCAATGCTGTGGGAATGTATGCTGGATAATACTTTAAAACCAGAATTGTGAAAGACTTTAGGTCATAAAATCCAGTTTATTCTCAACAGTTTTTGTTAAGGTCACATTTAGTAGAACGTAGTTTAGTGCTACCGCAGTGAAGTGGAAATATTAAACCAACCAGAATGTCAAACCAGCAAAAGGAAGGAAACAAGTTAAAGCTTTCAACCTCTACTTGTAAGGGTTTTCAGGGCAACATGTAATTTTATATTTAACTGTGAACATCTTAAATGTGATGGTGAATTAAGGAATATAAGCGACAATTACTGTTCTTTGACTTTCTTAGATTTTATTTTCAAATGCCTTTTAAGTAAATATAAATTCTGTAGTACCGATATATTATGAGCTCTGACACTGCACACAGATCGTACAGGTAAGGAGAAATGTGAAAATACAGATTTATATTGTTTAATTGGTGTGTTTTAATGCAACTGGACCCCCCCCCCCCATCCTACTGATTTAAGACACCCGGCCCCCCCCCCCCCCGAAATTAATGCAATATAAAAAATACTTTCATTACACTGTTTGGACAGGTATATCTTCTAATTCTAATAAAAATCTCTGCAAGTCTCCCAAGAGACCACAACAACATATTTATCATCACAGTATGCGATATCAATGCAAACCCAATAGAAACAGTTTCAACACATTGAGTATTTTATATTAAAAGAAGAAAAGAATTAAATTCTGCTCATGAATGAGTTCTTCCTTCTTTACTACTAAAACTAATGAATTTTGCTCAGCAAGGATCTCTTACTCTACAGAATTCTACTTTCATAATTTTCTAAAACAATACAACTTTCCAGCAATCTAAATAGAAACCCAAACCTTAGGATTCAGGCAGAAATCACTGCAAGGGGGATAAACTTCCACAGTTTGTTCTATTTGGTAACCGTAAATAACACGTTGACTATGCAATGGCTCTTAGTCCACTCCAGCTGTAATACTTCAAGAAAAATGCCCTTTAATGATGTTTTCACATATATAATCCATAACTATAAACACAAAGCAACAAGGATGCTACTGAAAAGCGTTCTGTGAGCACAGTACAGTTATATAGATTGCCAAATTCATATCCTGTTGGTTTCTAGTGCTCCTTTAAATACAAACCCCAAGCTACTGTAAACCTATATTAGGACATATTGTGATGCATTTATTTTATTGCAGCTTGCCTCTCACTGATTAAGCCATATGTTTAAACAGGAAAGAACGAGCAGAGTAATGTTGGCATAATTAAAATTTGGTATTTTCCTAAGTAACTCATTAGGTTTATATAACAGTGCCAGCTCAACAATTAATGGCAAGGTTTAGATTGTGAAAAATTTAACCTGTTAAAGATACTCGCAATTTTTTTTCATACCTGCATTGTGCTTTGCCAAATATTTGTCTTTGTACTGCTTTTTTTTCTTTCCAAACCAAGTACAGCTGGCCTGTTGCTCCTGTTTGGTCTTCTCCATGGCAATACAAGCAACTCGCCTGGCATATGGAGGACAAAAAAATTTTTTTTTATTGTAATCAACGTATTTTAAAAAAGCTACACAGAATGAATTAGAAAACTAAGACTTTTTACTAGTACAAGAGTACAGTAAAAGTTTTCAAAACTTCCTTTTTGGATGAATTAAAGGACTTATATAGAGAGGTATTTTGATACAAAGATTATCTTCTTAGTGGTAGATCATTAAAGCTCACAGATCAAGTGAGCACGGGAGGAAGGGTAGCTACTAAAATGGCTGTAGACCACTTTGTAGCAGATTTGATTGGAAGAGCATGAGGTCTGAAAAGACCACTATGGTCTAAATTACTTCAAAGCAAGTTGTGCTGTGGAACCGTTTTGAGGTCAATCTTTAGGATGAAGTACTGCAAGTGTTCCCTGTTGCAACCTATACCAGTGCCTCCCTTATGTCAGGGCTTGCAAAGGAGCTCTTGAGATGGAAGGAAATGTCTGTCTGCCTCTGCTTTTCCTCTAGCAAAGTCTCCCTTAGCCAGTCAAGGTGGCGCAGGTGCTGTTAAATCCTTTATAGCACACGAATTCTTTTAAGCAGCAAATTTTGTATGAAATATTTTGGGCTAGATTATCCATATTGATAAAGTTTCTTGAGTCATGGCCATAACATTCACAGCCCAGGACTTGCTTGCCAGAGTTTGTGCTGATACATTTACAATGTTTATTAAACAGTTTCTGCAAGAGCTCCGCGTTGCTTTTGCCATTGCTCTTCATTGAATCTGTCATTCAGGAATTTTTGCAGTGTGATTTCTTTCTACTTTTTGGCTTTCACATGAAAAAGGAAAAGGAGAGGAAAATCCCAGAAGTCCCTCAGTGACCTTTGTGCTTGATGTCTTGCTAACACTTTATTCCTGCAGTGCTTGCATGCAAGCAGTACTAATGAAAACAGTGTTTAGAACCTAAAAGAGAAATTAATTTGACCCTCTTACAAAACCAATTTGTATGTGGCCTTCAATCCTTGTTTCCTAGAGTATATCAGAAAGCATAAACGTTGTTTACTAAAACAAGTGCTTATTTTTCTAATGTAACCACACATATGATATTGCATGCAACCCTTACTGCTATGCATATACGAGAAAAAAAATCAATGCCACACAAACTGAGGCAATATATATTTTTTCAAAAAAGAAAAAAATTATACAAAAACTAGCTATACAACAATGAAAAGCATGAAAGACAGAAATAAAAGCAAAGCTAAATTCATTTTTATAGAAAACTTAAGTCATACCATTCTTGAAGTTCAGGAGAAGGAATAAGACCTGCAGTACCATTTTTGGAGTTCTCAAGTTTACCCTGCCACCAGTTGTGATCATCTTTGCTAATGATTTGGATAATATCACCAACTCGGAATCTGATGCCAGCTTCTTTGCAAGGAATGAGGTCATCCTTTGCTGGATCATATTCAAATTGTGCTCTTACATATATCTATAAAAAAGAGTTTATAAAAGACACTGCGATATTATTACTGGCACAGTATTACGAGTAACAGGTGAAAATTTGAACTGTGAATGTAGCTACACATACTGTTTGCAACAAGCAAAGGAAGAAACAGAATGGCAAAAGCATGATAGTTGAAAATGAAACACCAAAAACCCCCAGCAAACAATGGAGACATATGATGTTATTTTGAAAGCTCATGTCTTCTACAGACTGTAAAACCCTAACAGCAAAAATGAACACATGTAATAAACTGATAAGAGTCTCTCAAATCAATATTAACTATCACGAATCATTATAGACTAAAAGTCAGCAGCTAACACCTCGAACTGTACTGTACTTTCCAACTGAAATCCCATGGTATGTTCCAAAAATCTGTATGACAAGAAATTTTGTTGGACAGAGTAAAGGACTTAGGGTACGTTACCGATCTTTTGTATTTAGACTGGAAATTTAGTACCTTTTTTGATTAAGTACTGTGTTGCACCTATCACATATAGTTACTTGGGAGGAATCTGGGAATTTCCTGCATGGGTTTTTCAGTGAAAGTCTACTCCCATATAAAAGAAAATTAATGACTTGATTAAGTTATTCTCTAAGGAACAGTAACAGAATGAATTCAGATTCTGACCTCACAATTTAAAATAATATACTTAAAATAACATATTTAAAATAATATCCTTGCTTTGTGGATTAGTGAGGTCTCTACCCTAGAAAATAAAAGTGATCTCCAGTTTCGGTTGCTAGTCATAGCCCTGATGCATCCAGGAATCTTAAAATTAGAATGAAATGTCATGTCCCATATAGGTAATTTCTACAGTTTACGAACTTCAAACATCACCTTATAGCATCTCAGACAGCCATGTATATTCTACTGCTGATTTTCTCACTAAAAATTGACTAGATTTAAAAAAAAATATTTACATTGCAAACTAATATCCCTCATTTAAACTGTAACAAACACTTTTCAACTTTTCTCAAATTTTGCTCCAAAAATACCTGTAACTATGCAGTGTTAGCACTATTCATGGCACTTTGAAAGTTTATTTCTATAGTAATCCAATCTGCAACCCAACATATGAATAAATTAATTTAAAATGGCTAATCACTACTATCTTGTACCTGATGCTTTTTTATCTGTTTACAGTGAGAGCATCAGATGATAATACCAATACAGAACTCAACTTTTAATATACTAAATCTGACCCTTGTTCTGCTGTGCATTAAGTGTGTGAGTTTATACAAGCAACCCAACTTCTTTTAATAATCTGAAAAATAGGATATTTTAAAACCAACTATGTTTGTTTAGTAATTGGCTTTCTCTGAAGTAATCAGTCTTGAACCAATCTCTTCTTTCCCTTCAACTGTATCTAATACAGGTCTAGAAATGTGACCAATATTTTTACCATCTAGAACCTTCCTTGCTTTTCAAGTCCCTGCTCCAGTTTGAGCTATTATCCACCATATACTGGCTGTTCATGGAATGTGACAGACTTCCTTATAGATAGCAATGTATCTGTTATCCAAGCCCTTAATGTCTTCAGGGATGACAAACTACCAGAAAAATATGCTGGTTCAATGGGAGAAGACTCTTAAACAAAACCAGGTAACCATAAATGGTACGAGTACGAGGAACACCGTTATTCTGATACTGCTTTGAACAAAGTCTCTTCTCCTGGGAAAAATGAGAGGCAAATGAAAACCTAACACAACAGCTTGGAAGGTCTTTCATGGAGCCTTTCCAGGACTACGTTCAGGCAGCTGGAAACTTCAGAAGACAACAGAAGGTTGAAAGATCCATATAACTGTAAGCTTTAAAAATGGGAAATCAAGTGAGAGCAATCCATTTGTGTAATAGATATTCCAGCCAACTTAACCAGACAGTAGTATAAAAAGATTTTCAAAGACAACAGATCACGGAGTTCATTGACTCTGTTGAATGGAATTGCAAGAGTTGTTATAAAAACCCTTGGTAGAGAAAGAGGTTTGAGTCCATGGTTAAAGATTCAGAGGCAGATTCTGGAAGGGCTATATATAAATGGAGCCATTATTGAAGATGAATCACAAATCACTTCATGGTATGTGTTGATTTGGAGGCTGCCATAAAAACAATAATTCTTAAAATTGCAAAGGGAATCATAGGGAGTCCTCTGCAGAGCCCTTAAGGGCTTTCTTGGAACTCTCTGGAGAGAGAGGATCTTTCTTTGGTCCATGATAACATGTACTACCATCAGGTGAAGATTACAAAGTTAAGGAAGGTTACTGAATCTGGGCCTTAGGACTGAAAATTTAAGAGGCTGTCTTCAGACTTATCAACCCTTAATAGAATCTGTCCTTAATGTTTTTCTTTGAAGAGCTCTGTTAATGTTAATAATTAGTTATAGACCAACTCAAGCTTTAGAATCTTTGTTAGTACAATGTTTTAGAGTATTAGACACTTGCCCTACTAGTCTCCATTTCAGCTAAAATATAAAGTTGAGCTTTCCTCTAAGATGAAAACCTGCACTGGTCACTGCACAACAGTAAGTCTATTAATGCATTCTGAACTAAAACAACATCTCCAGTTAAATTTACAATGACTTTGTAACTCTCACACATATGGACACATGAAAAAAAATGCTGTTTTGAATTAGTCACAAACAAATGAGTTAAAAAGAAAAATGAAAAAATGGAACAAATTGTCCAAGCTTAAATGTTTTAGTCCAGCACATACAGAATATGAGGGGGAAAAAGATAAGCAGGGATGTTCACTAGCAGCTAAGTTTACAAAAATTCCCATGGAGGATATCTATTCACCTGTCGTCCTTTTGGTTGTGTTGTCGATGGCAAGTCCTGCAGAATAAAGTCAACCCAGGAGAAGAAATTTTCATTTTACTTTTTAAGGGTATACAACACCATTTGTTAGTGATTCATACTACATTACAGTAAAATGGTAAGTCAGACAAAAGTATAAAGCATTGACCCATGTTTAGAAATAGTTTTTTTCCTTAAAGAAAAATCAAACCCAGGCTGTTTAGCAGCAAGCTGAAGAAAGCAGGTAAAAAGTTTAAGCAGATAGAGAATGTGCTTTTTAATAAATAATTCAGCATCTTCAACACAAAAGCACTGTCAAGTGAAAGAGGCTCTTTATGTGAATGCCTTTTCCACTTAATACATAGTCTTGTTTTTAAAAGAGGATGGCAATTATAAATATTAAAAATGCTATTATTAATTTTTAATACTTTA